GATCCCGTGGCCACAAGCCACGATAATTGAATTGGACCAGCTTCGATCTTCCTTTCCTTTTCTCGAATGTCAAAAAAAAAAAAAACTTGGCCGATCCCAGTTGCGACTTTTTCTCCATCAAGAATCTTTTTTCACAATCGTCACGATTCTCGATTTCGCAACAACGAAAAAAAGATAAGCGACAATTTTGTTTCTAATTTTTCGTTTCGAATTATCGTGGAGAAACGATATTCTGATAGCCACGATAATTGAATTGGACCAGCTTCGATCTTCCTTTCCTTTTCTCGAATGTCAAAAAAAAAAAGAAACCTTGGCCGATCCCAGTTGCGACTCTTTCTCCATCAAGAATCTTTTTTCACAATTGTCACGATTCTCGATTTCGCAACAACGAAAAAAAGATAAGCGACAATTTTGTTTCTAATTTTTCGTTTCGAATTATTGTGGAGAAACGATATTCTGATAGCCACGATAATTGAATTGGGCCAGCTTCGATCTTCCTTTTCTTTTCTCGAATGTCAAAAAAAAAAAAAAAAACCGCTTGGCCGATCCCAATTGTGACTCTTTTTCCATCAAGAATCTTTTTTCACAATCGTCACGATTCTCGATGCAACAACGAAAAAAAGATAAGCGACAATTTTGTTTCTAATTTTTCGTTTCGAATTATCGTGGAGAAACAATATTCTGATAGCCACGATAATTGAATTGGACCAGCTTCGATCTTCCTTTTCTTTTCTCAAAAAAATGTCAAAAAAAAAAAGAAACCGCTTGGCCGATAGAAAGAGATAACCGAAAATAAAAAAGATAAACGACAATTTTGTTTCTAATTTTTCGTTTCTAATTTTTCGTTTCGAATTATCGTGGAGAAACGATATTCTGAGACGAATCGAGCGAGGAAAAGCGAGCTAAGCCGCGGGAAAGTAAACCGATTCGTTAACCACGTTACAGGCACGGCCACGGTGTAAGCCAAGCCAAACATTGACATGTTCAATCATTTCGATCTCTCCACCTACCATATAGGCTTGGCGAGCCTACGGCCGTGCGCGCCACGCGCGTTCAAAGAGCAACGAGAAAGAGGAAGAAGACGGGATAGGGAAGGAGAGAGAGAGAGAGAGAGAGGAGCGTACGCCATCTGGCCTCGAGAAAGGATCCAGCCACCAAGGGGTAGAAATTGAAATGAAAACAGAGGAGTCCGTCCCTCTCGTCAATGAGGGCTATTAGGGGACGATATGTTTTTCTTCTTTCACAGATTTCTGCGCGTTGACTTTCGACTTGTCAGCAGGACGTATTTCTCTTTTGTATCGGGAGAGGGGGGGATCCTGGGATTCCTTTAGGTTCTAACGTGCTCTCATAACGTTTCTTTCGCATATATATAAATATATATATGTGCTATGCGGTATCGATACTACTCCTCTTTCCATGTAAATTTCGCCAATTCATTCTTCGTTCGTTCAATCGTCATCGATCGGGCCGATAATTAAGCGCCGAAATCGAGAACTCGAGTAATCCGTTTCAGGATTATTATTAACGCAACAATGAATGGAAGCTCGAGAAATTCTCCCCGCGGAAAAAGAAATGAAAAGCTTGCGCGGGGCTTCGTGCGTGCATGAATAGAATTCGAATGAACGGTTATAATATCCGCCTTTTCTTTCCCCCCTTGTTGGATATGGAAAACCTTACGTTTATCGTAATCGTCCGATATAAGATAGTTGAATCGAAAGAAAATCCGATTGCCGAAAAATTGCATCGTGGAAATAATCCCGCTCTGAGAATCAAATTTTCGTCTCTGTTTAAAATATACGTGAGTCGCAACTGTCTTCACCTTTGAATGATATGAGCAGGCAAAAAAAAAAACGAGGGACAATGATCGATGAATTACGTAGTGACGAACCACGAATAATTCGTGGGTGGATTTACCTAGTTTTAGCAGGACAGTGGTATTGATAGTGTATAATAGAAAAGCGGCGATCCATCACGGTCACCGATTCGCGGTTTTGTCACCGACCATTGTGGACAGAAAACAGTTTTGCGCGACAATACTTGGCGTGCCACACCTACGTACACGATACGAATACGAAGGACGGGCGGCGGGCGGTGTTTCCAGAGGAATGCCTCACGGGTGTCCATGGCATGCATTGCAAATTGCAGGTAGATTTATGGGCGAATCGGGACGTCCCGTAGCCCAGTTCCCATACTTCTACCGCGTAATCGTCCGTGAAGATCCGTTTTTCCGTAAAAATGGTGTTGCCGGTACCGTTTCTACGTTCTTCTCTCTCTCTCTCTCTCTCTCTCTCTTCCATTCCTTTTTGGCCTTTTTCCTCTCATCTTACAGTTTCTCCAACTGTGTACACCGAGTTTTAAAATTCATTGAAGAGAACTGGTACAAGGTAAATTGACGTCATCTCTAATTGATATTTATAGATCGTGGAAGAATATGGAATTCTTTTAAGTGAAAAAAATTCTTGAGTATATATAAATTCATTCGGATTTTCACATCGATATATATATATATATATATATATATATATATATATAGGATAATATATAGATTCGATGATAGGGCAAGGCGTTTTTTCTGCATTTTCGTAGTTTTTTTTTTTTTCTTTTTTTAAATGGTGCGCGCAAAGATCTTTTGCGAAAAAAGGAGCGCGCCTCGTTTCACGCGTGTTACGAATCAGTCGATCATTTGGGCGGAAAAGGAAACGCCCATAGGCTTTACCGAGTAGTGAATGGTTCGCAGAAGAGGCGTTAAACGCGACAAAACCATGACATCCGGTGGACACGGGTCGACACGTGACCCGTTCAATGCTCTTAAGCCAAACCACTCGATCGAAGACAGCCAGAACGGTGTTCAGAAAAAAAAAAAAAAAAAAAGAAAGAAAAAAGCTATTTAACAGCTAAGGCGCTTTGTTTGCAGCTTCCCCTCCCCCTCCCTCCGCCTTTCCCCCACTGCTTTCGGTTACAATACCGTTTCATTTTCTATGTTTGACAACTGCACATTGTGTTGCTCATCGCGAGTACCATTTCAACTGCGTTGTCCTTTCAAACCGACTTTTCGTCGCGATCGAAAAGAAGTTTTGTTCCCGTCCCGTGATTCTTCGCCACGCGATATCTATACATTTCCTCCTCTCCCTCTTACTCTTCTTTTTTCTTTTCTTTTTTTTTTTTTTTATATATTCGAAAAGAGATTACATTTACCGTACCGTGACGAATTTATCCACGAATCGAAAGATATCTTTTCTTTTTTCCTTTTTTTTTTTTTATTCCTTCCTCCTAGATCCGAGAGAGAAGATCTCGGGAGAAAGAGAAGAGAGCGAGGAAATTGGAAAGCCTTCTCTTAAACTCTGAAAAACTTAGAAATTAAACTGTATATAAAAATAATTATAATTATTTTCTTCATTACTTTCCGACATTACTACGACGACGTTACGTCGAGAAGACGTCTGAGTTGTTGGATTGAAGATTCTTATGCCCACCGTCTGGACAGTATAATGAAACCATCTTGGTCAGACGGGCGGCGTAATACAAACTGGCCTCTCCGTCCTCCACCGGCCAACTTTCAAGACTCGCTCTCCCAGGACTGGGCTTGTTGGTCTCCCTTCCATTCTGCATTTCGTGTTCCCGCGCAGCACGAGACAGATAGCCGGACGGATAGATGAACAAATGGAAGGAGAAATAAAGCGGCCGCACAATTATCTTAATGGAGTTGTGGACACCATTATCGATTCGATGCGTAAACGTCGCCGCGCCAATTTCCCGCCCTATTATTTTTTTCACTTACGAGGAAATACTTTAAACAGACATTAACTTTAACCCGCTGGAATATAAAACATTTTAAAAAAATTTCTCTATCTCGATGACAAATAATAAATTTTACAATATTCGATCGAATATATTCGATCGATCTTTCTTTAAATGTGAATCATCTAATCCCGATGTCTGGAGGCAAGCCGCCTCGTGTTTTATCAATTACTTTCCATTATGACGTGTTTGCGACGCAAGACCGATGTTCTTTCAGGTTGGCGGCAGAGGAAAACGTTGGAATGAACAATCCACTCGTTCGGGCGGTCACGTGGGCCGCACGTGGCAGGAGCGTGTCGAAACAACTGGTGCCCCGTCTTCTGCCACCATGTGCGCCAATGAATATGCACGCGCCACCGTAACACGCGGCTTTCTTTTTACCACGTAAGATCGCTCCATTGGTGTCACCCCTTTGCAAGTCGCAAAACTGACTTTTATTTCCATTCGCAAACCGCATTCTCTTCTCATTTCAATTTCTTCTTTCGACTTTCGAAGAAGCGCAAGAGAGCGCTATTTTTTCTTTCCTATTTTGTTTCTTCCTCATCTCGCAAGATAAAGATCTTGCTTTGAGAAATTCATCAGAGAGGGCAGTCGAGAGACAGCCGATATAATTGTGTTCGATGGAAAGAGGTTCGAGAGGGGGTTGACTTGGAGGCACCCGCATTTTCCACGAAGAATCGTGGTACCACTTTGGCTTTGAAACTTTGGACGATAGGATCGGATGATAAACAACTCGAAACGCCAACCTTCTAAACGCACGTAACAATACTATTGTAGGACGAGTGTAGCACCAACTGCCGCGCTTGACACTGCGTCCTCCACGACATATGGGATAGGAACGATGGACTTGTACGTAATGTTTCCAGCCCTTCATACGAGCGAGCTTTGATACGAGCCACTCGAAAAGGGAAAAGGATCGGTGCTTGACCGAGGATCATCGCTCCCGCTTTTCCATCCTATCGCGGACCAGTTGGTTTTTTTCTTTTTAAGACGTTTGAAAAAAATGGTAAAACTTTCGTAAGTAAAAGGATATAATCGATCGATGAGTCATGTGTAATAAATGTGACAAAGTAAATAAACGAATGGAAAAAGAACTTAGGAAAAGAAACTTAATAAAAAAAAAAAAAAAAAAAAGAAAAGAAAAGGAAGAGGAAAAACGAAGAGATGAATCAAAAAGAAATATCAAATTAAAAGAGACTCACGTTCTTCCTTGATCGGAAAACAGCTTGGTGTTTCGATCTTCCGTTCTAAAACAAAAGGAAAAAAATAAACTAAATTAAATTCGTTAAAGGAAATCAAACTTAAACGTAAAAAAGTAAACGTGAAAAAGAACGAAATGATAAAAGGAAAAAAAAAATGAGTTTCGAAAAGTATTGAAAAATATATATATATATAAAAAAAAAGATAAAGAAGAAATGAATAAAAGAAAAAAAGAAAAAGGCGTTGAAATATCTCCTCCGGTAGTTGCACAAAATAAATAAGCTACACTGAAGTTGATATCCCGACGAATACGGTTTCTTTACTGTCTCGTTTGCGGTTTTATCGTAAGATTTCAAAAAACGCTGAGACAATACGCCAGCTTATCCTGCCGGCACCATAACGTTTTTATGGAGCATTGTCAACTCGGCGACACTTTTCCCCGAGGCGCGATCATAAATAATTTACCCAGAAACGCGCATATTCATTCGTCTTGGACCTACCTGTGCAACATCCTCGATTTCCTTTTACCCAATTTTAATATTACTATCATTCTTACGTGCGTGTATTCCACATAGAAAAAAAAAAAAAAAAAAAAAAAATGAAATCGTATCTATCTTATATATCCTTTCTCTTGCTCCTTCTCAAAGTCGAAAATCGAGTACGAAAAATCGTGGCCCATCCGAAATGGGCGCGAGTTTATTCGGTTTAAACGATGTTTTCGTTCCCATCAACAGCCACTTAATCTCCGATCGCGTAAACTCGCGCAACAATAGGGGGACGCGTGGCCACGGAGGAGAGAGGGGAAGGGAGGGAGGGAGGGAGGAGGGGCATGCACGTGATTACTGCCGACCGAAATTTCATCGCGGAGTCACGTGGCGGCGGAAAAACCGGCGGTGTACACACGGAGGATCGGCTCGAAAAACCGAGCCGCAAAACCCGAAAGGATCCACGACGCCTACGAGGAAAACAAGCCCCGAGTCACGCGTTCCCACGTACGCGCGCGCCAACCCCCTCGAGCTTTCGGTGTAACGTTTCGGATTACACCGTGTTTCGTCCTTGCCTGTATATGTATAATACATCGACCGATATATTTGTTTCCACTCGTGATCGAATCGAAAGTTTCCGCAACTTTGTTTCGAGTAGAAACAAACAGAGTTCGAAACAGCGTGTTTTCTCGTTCTCCTCTTTTATGTCACTTATGTTGACGAATTTTAATTCTTCGAATAAATTACGAAGAGAAGGTTGGGTTATTAATCCAGTTAGAGTGTTTTAAATCTCTCCTTCTTATCTGGATCTTCGTTTTATCTACACGATGGCTCGTATATCGCGATAAATAAAATCTCGATCTCAATAACTGTGCGACTTTTTTTTTTTTTTTTTTTTTCTTTCTTTCTCGTTTCATCAGGAACTCGATTCGAAATTACAAAGATCGATCAACTAGATGATTTATCTTGTTACATATTGGATTGTAATTATAATTGATAAAAAATGTAGGCGAGAATAAATTTCGTACGCGTTATTTTTATAGGATTGGGAATCGTACGTTGTTTGTTTAAGACGCGTAACGCGTTTTAATCAAAGTTCAGCGTTCTCGTAGCGATGACGAACAAAATTTCTAATCTTATCTCGCGAAGAAGAAGTTCTGTTTAGACGATCGGCTCGGAATCAATGACATATGGCTGTAGATCATAGTGTAATAACGTTATCTCAACGTTAGTAATAAATGTGCCAACTCGCGTGGATGCTTCTGAAAAGGAGGTCGACTCTTGTCGCGGCGCCTTATCGACAGAAGGAGAACGTTTTATAGAATACGAAACATGCATGTAACTATGTGATTTTTCGCTTAGACTTGCTCGCTTGCTTGCGAATATCAATCTGCTAAATCTTTTTTACATCTAAGAAAGATAATTTTTCAAATAACACAGTGTCGTACTTTTTTCTTTTTTTTCCACACAAAACGAAATTACGGAATGGATCACGAAACGCAACTCAACGTTCCTTCTCTCAACGAGACAACTGAAACGAGAGAATATATATCGAGATAATCGAATTACGTGGTCCATTCCGTGATACGTTATACACTTGTACATACATGCAAGAAAACGACGATTAACATTATTGGTCTGGACAACACGAAAAATACAATAAAAAAAACTCACACTCACCGTTACGATCACTTCACGATCCCACGAGTATAGAGAAGGATCAGAGAAAGAAAGAAAAAAGAAGAAAGAAAGAAAGAAAGAAAGAAAGAAAAAAAAGAAAGGTCGAAAGAAAGATCGATTCAGAAAAAGAAAAAAATAAAACTATCGATCAAACCTTGATCTATTTGAAACGTGAACCCGGAAATGGATGGTGGATCGGTGACGAGAGGAAAAAAGTCGGTGGCGACGTAACGTGGGCACAGGGTGAGAGAGACGAGGGGTAACTCGATGCCTGGACGTTTGACGCGTGGCCGAAGGAACGGTTCCTCCTCCTTTCCCAGACGCTACTTTACACGCCATTCGTTTTTCTCCGTGTCCTCGCGGCGTTTTATCGTCCCATTAATTCTCGCGACAGGATCCCGATGGAAACCAGCCTCGTCGACCTTTACACTACTAACTTTTTACTCCAACCAACTCGACGAGTGTATTCGTCCACGAGTCGAGTACGTAGCACTTTTATCCACGCCCGATACTCATCCAAATTTATTCGCGGTGGATTAAATTCCAAGGATCCATCCTCGTCGTTCCTGAGAATCCTCCTATCCCCCCTAAGTTAAGGTTAACCTTAACTTGGCTAAAACAAGGTTTTCCAGATTTTTGAACCTTGATCTTTCAAGCTGCGTGAATTTATCATTCGTCGGGTAATTTCGACGAAAGTACGAAATAAATAGTAAGAGTTTTTGCGTTCTAATAATTCTCGAATAGATAATCTATTAGATTTTTTTTTTTGTTTTCAAACTTATCGACAAATCTAAACGGATAATAAACACAAGTATCTTATCAGACGATTGAACGACTGTTTGCCAAATTATATATATATATATTTACGTATAATGTTATATATATATTCGATATTTGAAAGTGTCAAATATTTTTTGAATCGCGTACTCTAATAAATATTTTCAAAGACGAGCGCAATTCAAACGCTATCCCGAAATAACGAAATCAAGCCAATCTGAGATCGTAAGAAAGATACGTATGTATATATATATATAGCCAGTATCGATAACCGATCCAATAATTTTTCCTCATAAAGACGGAAAGACTGGTCGTAGCGAGTTAATAACCGGTGTTTAACGACGTTACCAGGCCGATGTATCACGCTGAGTGGTCACTCGGGGAGGGAGGCGAAGTCGTGAGGAGAAAACGAAGAGAGGAGGAGGAATAAAAGGGTGGGATAGCCACTGGGGGCTTCGCTCCTCCATGGGTTTCCACGGGCGTGTGGGCGGGTGGCGGAGGAGATGTGTGCGGCGATGCCATAAAAAAATAGGAAAAACCACCACCGCCACCGCAGAAAACTTTCGACTTGGAAAGCAATTCCCTTCTCGCCGGCCCGCCACCATTTCGCCGGCAGAGAGATGTAGGTGGGAAAACGCTCTTCCTCCTTTTATACGAAAAGAAAAAGGAGCGGCCAACTTTTTATTACGTCGGAAAATTTACCGTTCGCCTCGCCGCTTCTAATCGATGCGCGGTGAAACAACCATTAACGTTCCTCCCCTCGGCTATCATTCCTTTTCTCATATTCCTTTCACTCTTCTTTCTTTCACAACGCTACAATAATTATTGCTATCACTGTTCTTTTAATATCTTTCAAACGATAAATCTCGTCTCTGCGCACGTTTCGTATACGAAAATACGAAACTTCGATTCTGTCGAAGAATCCTCTGGAGAGGCGAGTGAGGGTCGATGAAAGAAAGCGAAAGGAAATTTTCGGCAAGCCTCCTCGAAGTAATACGAGCAAATCTTCCGAATCATCGGCTTCCATTGCTTCGAGTTCGAAACGGAAAAGACGTTACAAACACACGGATGCGTGCACACATCCTCGACGAGATTCTCAAAGAGAGAGATTCCTCGAGCGAAGGAAAACGTCGTTCCTTCCCTCGACTTCCCTTAGAAAAAAAGAAAAAGTACCAAGAATTCTTCTTCATCCTCGTTTTCCCGCCGACTCTCGCCCCCGCGCTCGAACGCTACGCGCCCTCTAACCAGCCGCCATTTTCTTTTCACCCCTGTATCCGTCCGACTGCCATTCGCCGCGAACCTCCGTTTCCTATGGTTACTATTTACTCGGGGGATGCTTGACAACCTCATTGGAGCTTTCCACTCTTTGTCGGAGCGCCACCACTTTTGCCTCGTCTTCCTGGCCGAAAAAATCTTCTCGCCCGACCATTTTCATCTCCCTTCTTCCGCATATTTTCGGGGATTCAATTTTATGAGAATTATTCGCGTACGAAAATGAGGATGAACGCTCGAGAAAGGGCTGGAAAAGGGCAACTGTTTAGGTTCCGCTGTTTGGGCCCAAGTTTAGATTTAGGTTTAGATTTAAGCACATTCGCTATCGTGCCCGAAGCAATACCGTATTGATTGTGGGGTGGCCGAGCCTCCGAACACATTACATGATTAAACCGCCCCAATGGCATAGCAACCGGCCTTGCAGCACTTACCTTATTAAAATATCCACCACCCTCACCGCGCCCTTTTAACAAAACCTTTACGCGGGGCCCGCCAAACTATTCCAACACCTACCCCTTTATCGTGAAGAAACGACTCCACCAACTTGACCGACAATGTTTCCAATTGTCTGCGGTGAATTTGTTCTACCAAAAAGAAAAAAGAAATCATTCGAATCAATTTCAAACGTTGCGATATGTAATCGTGAGCTCTAAATTCTATTCCGATTCGAACCTTAACCCATTTAGATTTCTCCAGATTTAAATATAATTGGGTATTTTTATGGGGATTATAAATCTCAGAGAGAGAGAGAGAGAGAGAGAGAGAGATTTTTCGTTGAAAATTAATTAATAAGATAGATACGTAAACTCGTGTAAATTTCAAGAAAGGAGAGAGCATTTCGACTGGTTTCCTTTAAGATTGAATAAAAGTAAAAATTGGTAAAAATTGGTAGAGATATATCATATTTTTGGAATTGAAACTTAATATTCGGGATGAAGAAACCGATTATTCGAAGATATTATTATTATATTAATCGTGCGTGAAATATTTAACGTATAATTTTCAAATTGATCGGTATAAATTATTTAGGAATCGAAAACGTGGATACTTGTGGACGTAGCGATGAAACGAAGGAATCTCCGAATAGGTGGATTCATAATTGAAGAAATCTTCGGCCTTCTTCGACTCACCGAGATCGACTGCATAAATAATACACGCGATAACTTGGTTCGCGGAGCAAGTGCGAAAGATGCAGGAGAAAATTTTAAAGAATTACGGCGAAGAATAACTATGAGCGTAAAAAATACATCTATCCGACACGAAATCTTATTTAATATTTACTTATCCGATATTTAAATATTGAACACGCAAAAGCGCAAACTGCATTTACGCGAAAGATAATAGAGAAAGAAATATATATATATATATATATATAATCAACTTGTCTCGATCTTTTTTCGATCTTGAAACAACTGTGATCCTATAATATGACCTTTTTATTCGGGAATATTTATTTATATATTACCGAATATATTTTCCTCGAGATATCTCGAGGAATACTACGTGGATTAAAAATTTCTCGATAAAGGAAAAAAACCGGATATTTCGAGATCGATACGAAGGTGGGCCAAATGTAACGATCATTCGTTCTCAAGCTGGACATTAATCTTATCGAACATTCGGATCGAGCATTCTTATCGCGCTACTGTTCGCGTAACATAGCACAAAAATTTTAACTTGACCCGATATTACAAGAACTCGCGATAGCGACTGAACTATTAGATTACTAAAACCTCTTATCTTACAAATGTTTCTATAAAATTACGAAAATTGCGACATTTCCTCCACGATAACAATTTGTAATAATTTTCTAATAAGACTAAACGGTCTCGATTAATCTTCGAATATGGTTTCAAAAATTGTGCGTGGACGTTGCACAATCCGGAAAAACGTTGTTGCGTCGTTTCACGAATTTCGTTCGAATAGTTCGTTCCAACTTCGTTAAAGACGTTATAATTCCGATTACACCGATTCCTCGTGCAATTTCATCGTTTGTACGAATCGTCGTCCGTAATCAATTCGGACAAATTCCACGCATCTCGGCGAAGAATCGACAAATTCCTTCCAACGATCTCGAACGAAACGATAACGCAGCACGCGTCGGATACGAGAAGCGACCAATTCCTGCTTCCATCGCGTCTCCACTCGATCGACGATGATGATGACTTCGATCGGACTCCGGCGAAAGCAGGGGATCGCGGAGAGATTCGCATTCTTCGAAATGCGAATAACGATAAAACACGGGCGCTCGGTCGGAAGGGGGGCGACGAGGGTGGCGGTGGCGAAAGAAAAGAATCCTTACCTTCCAAGTTCTTGTTCCTGGCGAGGAGTGCCAGGAGGACGTCCTGGTTGGGGGCAGCCTCGGCCAAATCGGCGGCGTCCTGGTGCGAGGGCGGCAACGAGGGGCCCAAGGGTGGCATAGCGGTGGTCGGTGGCCGCGGCATCATGACCGGCAGCGCCAGTCCCCCGGCCGTGTGGTGGAGAGGATTGTGCGGCGGCGGACCGGAACTCGGCAGCGTGGGCAGCGTGGCGACCGGTTGCACCGCCGCCGACATGGACAGATCGACGCCACCCAATAGCACGGGACGACACCCTCCTGAACCAGGCCCGCTGCTCACCGCCGGGAGGATCCCGCCACCCCCCGGCAGTGGTGCGTACGGCAAGTACAGCTCCAGTATAAATCGGAGAGGGATAAGTCGCGGGAACAACGTTCGATCCTCTTTCAGCTCCGAGCGCACCACGTCACCACGGATGCCTCCCTCTCAGCATCGATCAACGACGCCGTATTATTCGATAATCGAGCGATCCCCTGGTATTTTCACTTTCCACTTTCCACCACTTTCCGTTTCTCACCAACGAGCGCGATCGAGAAAAAGACGCCTCGAGACGATCCCGCCACTCGCGCTTTCGTTCCTTCCAGTTCCCCGGTTTCCGGATATTGCGCGGCTCCGCCCGAGCACGCGATCGGCTCCTCCACCACTCTTTTTATCGCTCGATCGTCCAAAGTTCCTTCGTAATCTCGTCACCAAGCGAGACACGCCGATGGCGATCGAGAGCCTCTTTACTTCTCTCACCTTCCGATGACTTTGCCCGCCTGCCTGGGGAGAGAACGATTCCCCGTTGCTCGTCGGATTCAACGATCCGTATCGGTATCTATCCGGCCACTTTCGTTTCGTTCGTTCCTCTATGTATATATATATATCGCGACTTTGTATCGCGATCGACACTTACCAATGTTTACGAGCGTGACTCGTTTAAGAGGCCGAGGTTGAACGGCTTGTTGGTAAATAACGAGTTTCCGTCGATAACCGGGAGAAGGGAGGGGGGGGAGAAACTCGCGCGCGGAATCTCGTTCGTCGGTCGTCGTTTCTCGTCCTTTCTTTCCAAAAGGAAGAATCCTCTCTTCCTAAAGTGCTTATCTCGAATGCGAAATAACGAGAGAATTGGAATAATCGCAACGACGAGGCAACGATCGGTGGACGAAGTCGGTCGGACGTTCGTCGGTCGTCGTTTCTCGTCCTTTCTTTCCAAAAGGAAGAATCCTCTCTTCCTAAAGTGTTTATCTCGAATGCGAAATAACGAGAGAATTGGAATAATCGCAACGACGAGGCAACGATCGGTGGACGAAGATGGATTTTTTTCTTTAAAAAGAAAAACGAACGAGGAGGAAATTTCGGCGAGATTTCGCGGGCGGGACGCGCGAATCGTCGGCTCGAGACGGGGAATCGGACTGGACTAGAGCTCGAGTCTCGACCTCGGTCCAAGCGGACCCGAAGCCAGCCGCGCACTCGTTGCGTCCCTCTCGCGATCCGGAGCGACGGTCCACGTCGCTTATCGTATTGTCCACGAGCGAGAGGTTTATCTCGACCATAACCTTAGCTATAGCCCGTGTTTCCAATGGCGCCACTCTTTCCTCCGTAAAATTATCGCGCGCGAATCTCTCTGTTCGTCTCCAAGGGATTATCTCTCCTCTTTCATTATTCTTCGCGCTCGACGATTTCACAATCGGTTACAAAGCGCATACATCGAGATAAACCGTCGGGTCGATCCTGCAATCGATACCAGAGCGAGATTTCAGATTTCTCTCGAATTCCTCCTTTCTCCGAATCGATCCCATATATTACGCGCGAACGGATTTATGCGACGAAATGACAATCCACGTCCACCTCTAAAGGCTACAGCCTTTCTTATTCCTCTTGTTCCTTTCGCGTTCCAATCCTAATACGAAATTCAACGTGGTTCCTTTCCACGTCCTTTGCCACCACCACGACGACGACGAAGACGACGACGACGACGACGACGACGAGGACGAGGACGGTGACGCGGAACGACAAAGATCAGGAGGAGGTCTCGGTGGCGCGTATAGTTCTATCCTCTAATCCGTTGGCGAGGCGAGGCGCGTCTATCCCGGCCGTTCGCCTTTGATCAGCGGCGGGCGGCCGTGGTCGGTTTTTACACGCGCGTCGATGGAAATCGTGACCGGACCCGAATGTAAATCCCGAATGCCGATAGAGAGAAAAACGGAACGGATCGCGTAGCAGCGATAGGTTTGGGACGATCCTCCTCCCCGGCCTTGTTTTCGTGCGCCGATCCCGAGGCGGATTCGCGTCGCGCCGCACCGGCCGGTAAGAAACGGCGAATTCCACGCCCGTTGAATCGGGATTTTCGTCCTGCCACGCTCTCCTTCCCTTTTTTCCCCCGGTGATCGGCCGCGCCGCACCCGTCCCCGCCTCGTCATCGGCCTGCGACGCTCCGCTCCATTCACCCGCCACACCGATGATTATCCCCCGCTCTGTCCACTGACAATGACTTTCTTCCCTCGATCTCTCTTTCCACCGATTTTTCTTACCGATCCTTCGAATTCCGTCCGCCGACGTTTCGATCCTTCCCCCGAATTAATCTCTCTCCCGTCCTTTTACGATCTCCCGCGGAGACACGGTGCCCGTAAAAGGCGCTCACCCTTTCAACATCGCTCCACTTTTACGACGAGCCAACCGACGACCAGCCCTTCGACCCGATCTTCCTTCCTTTCAATTCCGCTCCTCTGCTTTTCCTCGCTTTCCTCCGTCCAACGACGATGCAGCGTCCGATCCGCCGTCCCTCGGAACATATCTCTCTCCCTCTCTCTCTCTCTCTCTTCTCTCCGATCGCGCACCGGTGAGATAACGGAGAGCTCGGTGGTCGTCGAGGATGAGAATAGGAGAAAGACGGGCGCGAGGATCTCGAGAGTGTGCGATTTGATTAGCGGGTAGCGCGGCACTATGGAGCCGGTTTCGCGGGGTTCCTGGCTTCGACGCGGAGGAACGGAAGGCTGGAGGGACCTGGAGGGACGCGTGGAAAGGTGGAGGTGGCTCCGAACGTTGGGCGAAACTGTGTGTGCATCGCCCTGCCGGAGGAGAGGTTTCCACCCTACCATCGACGCCCGCCACCGAGCGAACCGCCACCTCGCACCTAAAAGGGGGGAAACTCTCTGGTGGGGCGCTCTCCGTGTTGCCACGCTTGCGCCGCCGCTCGTCTCCCTCGTGCGCGCGAGAAACGGCGCGGGGGATATCCCGAATTCCCGAATATCCTGCTACGAGATTTCGCGATGATTTGCGGTACGCGCGACCGGATCGAACGATCGAAAAAACTCGAAACCGTGTCCCTTTTCGATTCCAATGTTTACGCGCGCGTTTACGAGACAGAGAGAGAGAGAGAGAGAGACATTTCTTAAATTTTCTTAAATTTGTGGAAAACGGATGGAACCGGCGAGATTCGGAAATTTCAACCGTAAAAGGAGAGGTGTATCATTCTGAACGATTCTTACCTCTAAACCCGAAAAACGCGTGATAAATCTTGACACCCTCCACCGATTCTTATCGCGAAAGCTGGTGTCACGTGGCGCGTTTCCTTTTCCCCAACGTGATCGGAACGCAACGACCTTTTCGAAAACGCGAATCTCGTGCGGACTCGGGTTGGAAGGGGAAGAGGGGGAGGCGGTGCATCGCGAGTGGCCATCGCTGGAATGCACGCGCGCGCATAACGACTTACATGCACACGTTCCCCGGATAGACTCGTATCGGGAGGGGTATACAGGGTCCGGATCACCCGTTGGATGCACTCAACGAAATTAAACCTACGTTCCTCGACCTCGGACTGACATCCAGCAGTCACGTCCGGCCGAGATATCGCCAACGTTAGCTTTTACCACGTTTTGCGCGCGCCACTTTCCACACAACTTATCCCCCCCACGAAATTTCGCCGACCACCGATCCATATTTATTCTCCCGCTTAATCACCATCGCGCCCCCCCCCCTCGAATTTAATTAAATCAACTCTCGCCCCGTCGAAACGGAAAAAATAGAATTCCAACGGGAAAAATAGAAATTCGAAAATTCGCTCGAAGATTCGAAAAGGGACAACACGCTTGTTATGGTCTTGGTTTGAACGTCGGTTTGCTTTAAAAATATGTACGCGGGATGGATTCGAGAATGAACGGAGGAATCGGTTCCATTCTTCCTTGCCGTTTCATTCATTCGGTTCGGTTTTAAATACCGACGTAGGAAGGTCGCAAGGTGGGAAGGAATTGGGTTATGAGCGCGAAAGTGGTAGGTGGCGAGGGTCCTGGTGGAACACGACTTCGAAAGTATCGAAGCGTCTCGGTGGAAAAAAGAGGTTTTTTTCGGATCGCCGCTCCGCCATCGGTGACTCCTCTTTCCCTCTCTTTCTCTCTCCCTCTCTCTCCGTCGAAGCAGCGGGGAAAATGCTTGGCGAGGCCGGGTTGGAAAAATGTGGAACACGTTGACGTTGGAGCAAGGGAGCAGACGAGAGGATATCGAACCGACAAGTCCAGAGGCGGAGTTGCCCCACCAGGTTTCCATGGAAACGTGACACTCTCTTTCGGGCTTTTCGAGCTTTTCGAGCTGTTCGAGCTTTTCGAGCTTACTATGCTTGTTTTCTCTCTCTCTCTCTCTCTCTCTCTCTATTTTCTCTTTTTCCTCAGTTTCTCACTCTCCTCGCATCGGCACCGGCGGATCGCCGGAGGATCGGTCTCGCCTCCAAAGAACCATATTTCCAGTTATTCTCCTCAAACCGAAGGGAAAAATTATTTCGCGGAAACTGATATCGCAGCCTGGCCAGTCTCTACTTCCAAGTTTTATTTCGCGGTCTTCTTTTCTTTTTGTGCTACTTCCTAGTATCATGGGTCACCTCGACGTTTCCAACACCGTCCCTATTCCACCGATCATTCGATAAAAAACGATACATCGGAATAATTTCTACTTGGATGAATAGAAACTATCGCTCGAGTTTCTTTTCACGTTACATCGAATTGCAAATTGTTGTAGATTTCATAAGCAAAGTGAGTTCGTATCTATCCAACCGATTAATTTCTATAATTCTATGAACCTTCGAAACCTTCCAAAGAATGCCAATCAATCGTTGTTATACAGAGGAGAAAAGAGAAAGAAAACAAGGCGTATATATATATATATATACATTGGAATGAAAATGTCAAAAGCTCGGATCGTCTCGAAAAATAAAATGGAAAAGAAGAATCCTATCGTATCACCGGCGCCGGTACACAACCGGAAAATGTACTTTCATCGGGCACACATCTTGTTCTGTCCTTTCCAATGTACCTCGCAGTTACTGGCTCGAGCATGTGCTCTCTCGCGTGTGAAATGTCCCCACGATTTGCTCTTCGCTCTTTCGCCCTTTCTCTTTCTTTCCTTCTCCGCCCACCTATGCACCGCCACCACCGTTTATGTAAGTTGGAACAGAGTTTCTCAAACCGGTAAACAGACAGAGGCGCGAGTCTCGTCTCCGAACGAAGTTTCGTAAGAGAATTCGAAAGAGCGATGAATTTTTCTCGCGCATCTCCAGTTTCTCATTTAAGTTAAAAAAGAAAAGAATATTTTCTTCACAAATCCTCGAGAGTAAAATTGGTATTAATTGCTTCGATCGATCCTCGATTTATTATACCGTCCAGCGATGAAATTCTATTCCTGTATGATGTAGGAATTATTTAATATCGATTTCAACATCG